TTGTTGTCGACTTCTAGGCTTGAATCTTCAACTTGCTTTCAGTATTAGGTTGGTACAAGTGATCGTTGGGAAGAGTTGCTGAAATAAACGAGTAACATTATATTATCTTGATTTCTACATCTAGTATATAACTATTACTTTGAATTGGTGTATATATTATTGTTAATATATTTTTAAATTTATTTTTGTCTGTAAATTTCTATATAGGTGTGACTGTTATTTAATTCAATATCTTTATATATACAAGAAAGTTTAATCTACCTTCATATTTTGGCCTTTTATAGTAACTCTAATCAGCTATGTTAAAGATGCTTCTACTTCTGGTAAGGCTAATCCTTTACTACAAACCATAAACATGTTCACTACTTTTCTCACCACTTCTAACTTTGATTAATAGTAATCATCCTTTTAAGCAAATATCTATATTTTCAATTTAGATAAGAACTTATTTGTGCAGTTTATTAACTATCCTTTCAAGCAAATACTTTACAAGTTGGGTATAGAGATATTGGTATTGCCTAAACTGAAAATACAAGAATGTTGATACTGCTCTGTTTCTAAGGACTTACTTGTACTATTACCATAACTAGAGTCTTCTATAACACCACAGTTATATATAATTCTATCTACTTTACATTTTGAATCTTTTTCTAAGAATTTCTATTCTAGTTGTATACTGCACTTAAACTTGATCACAGGGCTTCACATTCAATTTGGCCTTTAAAGGTTACAGAAACAAATAATAATTTGCCTCCAGCCTGACTTGAACCATTGACCTTGTTTGTGAAGGTTTGAGAGCTTAACCAATAAGCTACAGAGCCCAAACCCGTTGCTATATTTCAATTAATGACTAAATTTTTTTTAAATTAGTATACTGCATCTTTGAAGAATATTACAAGCATACTATTAGTTATTGTATCAAGAAAAATATCTTGCTTTTCCTTTTCTAAAGCTTAGAAACCTAATTTTTATTTTTTTTTAATATATGTATACAATTGCATCATCAATAGGCAATAAAAATTCTTATTTATAAAAGTTCTTTTCGCTCCTTTATCGAACAAAAACAAAAAAGAAGATAAAAATCTTTTGGATAAATGCTAAATTTATAAAAAAAGCTTTATTTAATTCATTTTCATCATGAAATAAATTACAGGATATGACTTTCTGATAATTTGTGCGTTGATTTCTTCAAAGTTTTGAATTTGGTACCAGCGCGGATCAAATATAATATAAGAGAAACATTAATAAAATTGATTATTAATCAATTGATATAGAGTAGGCGTTTTATACTACTTTGCCGAAATCTTAGATTTTTGCGATAGCGTCAAAATATTCTATATCTATATAGTATAAATTAATAATATAGGTCGTTAAGAGGAGATTTTCATAGTAAATCGCAAATTTAGTTTTTTACGAAACTTACTAATTTTTCGTATTCCGTCAAAAAACCTTGCTAATACCTCGTTAATAGTGCTAGTAAGAAACTAAATTTGCAATTTACTATGAAAATCTCCTCTTAACGACCTATATATATTATTAATAATTTATACTAGGTATAGAATATTTTGACGCCATCGCAAAAATCCAAGATTTCCGCAAAGTAAATTTGATCTTTCAACCGAAATTTACTTTTTAAATAATCGAAAAGTTATTTTTGAATTTTAAATTATAATGACAATTACCTGTTTTTAACATATCCTTGAAGATTAAAGTTTAAAAAAAAATTGCAAATTTAATAATGATCGCTAATTAACCAAATAATTGGCGATCCAATTCTATTTATAGGTTGTATTGATACAAAATTAATACGTATCGGTATTATTGTTTTCATAACACAGTCGGCCTAATATTCAAAAATTTCCGGGACCCTGGAAGTACGTATAATTTGCTGTATTTTTAGATTTACATAAATCTTAGTTCTATTTAAATAGTATATAGCTTTTTGCAAGCAAGTTGTGTAATTATAAATAAAAAAATGATTTTTGGAATAAAAGGACAATCTCAGGGTGTTCTCATTAATGATTTTTAATAGTCAGTTTCTAAGTTTAGAAATTTTACACAAAACGGATAAATTTCATATGAATTTTGTTATCCGCGGTTAAAGTAATAGTAATTTCCGAATTTCCGATAAATACAGTAGATGATTTGCACTCAATAATTACGTACGTACGTACGCACCCAGGGTTGGAATGGTTATGCGAATGGAACTCAAAAAACTAGTATCCATTGGCTCCATTCAGAGCTCATTCGCAGCTCCATTGAACTCCATTGCCAACTCTAGTATGTACGTACAAAACAAACTCGATAGAAGTTTTAATAAACGGCATCATTCGGCTTTGTGTTTGAAATTCTCGGATATTAACCAAACAATTTGAATTAAAAGTTTCATTTACCATTACAGTTACGTTTAGGTAATATTTGCATTACAAACATTGAAGTTTCTGTAGCATTAGTAATGTACGTGCCAGATTGATAAGTAAATGTCATTTTTTAGGCATTTATGTCATTTAAATACGTAAAAAATACCGATCTATTTCTTATACACTTTTTCCAAATATCCCTTTTGTGTGTGTAAATCAAATGTTTCCGTTATAGACTAAATGATAGTTTCACGGTTTTGTCAATAAAGTCAAGTCCACGATAGCACTAAAAACCTAAGTTCCAAAATAACAAACTGTTCTGGATTTTGGTCTTTTGAACTTCATTTGGAATTGAAATTTCGAACCAGGGCGGATTGCCTCAAATAAATAGATTTGGGACTCAGATCATTTAATGCTAACATTAATTACCGTTATTCCTCCGAAACTAGGCTCCCTTTTTTTAATGTAGAGGTGCTTATTTTCAGATATAATCTCAACTAACGCTAATAATCTGATGACTTGCTTATTTTTAATGTATAATAAGTGTGTATATGAATGGTAGAACACTTACACTCTATTTTCGGAGACATTGCTAGCTTCGATCACATTGAAATTCTGACAAGGAATACGTGATGAAAGCAGATTTATAGAAATTAATGGCATATTTGAGTTTTATTGATTTTACTTTAATCATTTATTTTAAATAACATTAATTCAATAATTGGACCGAAAGACATTGCTGCGTCAAACTTTAACCCTTGGTTACCATTTCACTACCACCTCTCAGTTAGCTCTGTCCTTGTAACGAAACTAGTTATACCTTTTTTTATTGAAAAGAATAGTGTAGATAAAAAGAAAACTCTGTGTATATTAATAAATTATTAACGGAGTTTTTGTATTTTGCACTCAATTTGAAACTCCTAATACATATCTAAATTCAGAATTTGTATTTGTAAAAACCTGTGATTTGATAATAGCATGCGGTGCATACGTAATAAATTCTAATTAGGTGTAACACAGTCGCCTTTCTGCATTCCGGTATTAAAAGGGATGTTTTTTGCTTTATTTGCTGTTAAACATCATCTCAAATCCTTTTATTTCTATTAACATCCACAATCCTATCTTCAATCTCGGAAACGTAGTTCAACCTTTGACTTTAAACCAATTTTTTATAGAGGTACCGTTTATATCTGCATAAAAAAAAAAAAAAAAAAACTTCCTTTCTTTTGTTGCATGTGTTTTTCCGTACCGTGCATTTAAATTTCTTTTTTTTGGATATTCTAGGTTAAACTTAATAATTTATCTTTTTTATTTTTATTCTGGTTGACCATGATACTTATATTTGACTTGTATGTTGAATAGATATGGCTTCTAAGGTGCGAAAAGTAACTTCGAGACAGAAAAAAAGCGTAAAAGAAAAAGATACGGTGAATACGGTGAATACGGTGAAAATTGAAGAGAGTAATTATTATTAAATATTTTGATTAACTTGGAAATAATTTTTAGCTAATTTTGATTCTGATTAAAACCATTTAAATGCTATTTTTGTTTGATTTGTCGGTTATATTAGCTGAATTTGATCCAAGTCTTCTGCCTCTTCCAGGTAAGACTATATATAATACTGTATAGCCTTTATTAATTTCAATGAATCACAACTAACCAGTAATTGTTCGTTTGTTACGATTGTTTCTATAGCATCCTCTACTAAGCAAGCTACACAACGTCTTTATCGAGAATTGAGATTAATTGTGCATAAACAGGACACTCCCTCTAATGATTTGGGTTTTTATGTAAAGCTTGATCAACTGCATTCAATCTATCAATGGGTTGGTATAATCTTATTTCGTTTATATATCCGTATTTACACGTAACATAGATTTATATGTTGATTTTAATCCATTTAAAAGGTTGTACAACTTAAAAACTTTGATCCATCTATTCCATTGGCCCAAGATATGGCACGACATAATGTGGAAAGCATTGAACTTGAAGTTCGTTTTGCTCCTGATTATCCAAATTTACCTCCGTATGTTTTTTTGGTTTAATATGAATTCTTCAAAGGATCCTCTGTTAAATCAATATTTCTTATTAAATTTTGATTATTATTTTTATTTGTTATTTTATTGATTTCATTATCATTATTTTTTTTCTTTAGCTATATTCGTGTCCTCCGACCAAGACTTTTGAGATTTATGAATGGCGGTGGTGGTCATGTAAGTATTTAATATCTATTATATCTATTATTATGGCCTGCTAATGAAATGATCAATAAGTTGATTAACTTAAAATAGGTAACGGCAGGTGGATCCGTTTGTATGGAATTGCTAACATTGGGTAATTCTCATGATCGAGGTTGGTACCCAGAATATACTATGGAAGCAGTGTTACTACAGGTATGCCTAAATTTTACATTTATACATAATCGTAATTTTGAATCAATGTGATTTCACATATAATAATATTTTTTAGGTGAAATTAGCATTGAGTTCCTTGAATCCACCAGCAAGACTTGATTATGATTGGAAAAGGGATTATAATGCACGAGTAAGTAATTATTGCTCTTCGTTTTATTATCTTTATTATTCTTTTTTTTAATACATGTATGATTTTCAGGAGGCAATGGACGGTTATATTAGATCTGCTAATCTTCATGGATGGATCATTCCACCTCATTGGACTACTTTATTTAAACGTTAATTTTTATATTAACATTGTTATAGAATGAATAATTTTAGTAATATAGCTTTTTGCTTTTTTTTCTTTTCTTGAATGCTGATACGTTTTAATAAAGCTAATGTGTGTGTTGCTTTTTTATTACATTTGTCTCTTACTAGGATAGTAAAAAAAAAGATTTTTGGTAATTGTTACAATAACAATTATTTTTTGGACACTGTGTATACAAGCTTAAGGCGGGGGTTGTTTCTGGTAGCAGACATTTACGATGCGTCTCCATATAACCGTTATCTAGCTTACACTATTAGGGACAGAACTTTGTATGGTATAGACTTGTGTTGTAAGATAATAATGCATATTTAAAAAAAATTCATTTTTTTTTTAAAAAAAAAACTTTTTTAAAAAAATTTTTTTTTAATTTGCTTTTGTTCATTGCAATATTAATTATAATTTCAATATTATTAATTATAATTTCAATATTATTAATTATAATTTCAATATTATTAATTATAATTTCAATATGGGTTGCAGCTTGTCGTCAAATTTTATTTTATAATATGTATAATATTTAAAAAGTCAGAAGTGTTGCAAATTAAACAAATGTCTATCGCAAAACAATATAATAAATGTCGTAATGTCGTAACAATCAAATAATATGTCATATTATAATAATATATATACTATAGTTTATAATATACTGTATATATAATATGATATAAACTATACGTATATCTACACTTATATACCTAACATTAATTTTACTATTCATTTTATTAATATATAATAACATATAGTATTTTCGCGTAATAACTCGCAGGGGTGTAATTTCGAATTTTAGCCTAAATTAAGCTTAATTCGGACAAATTTCGAAATAAATATCATGGGCGTTATTACGCGAAAGGTAGATTCTCAGCCTTGTGGCTTTGAGATCTTGCAAAAGTTGCAACTATATTATTCGAGTCCAATTTTTCCGCCAAATTTCGACTTCTAAATTTGAGTTGTGGGTTGTAACATGAATATTTTTTAATTTAACTCTTTTTTTAAAACAAAATTGTTTAGTTTACACATGCTGTATATATACACATGGTATATATTAATTAATAATTTATACATTTATGTAATATAAATTCGATTAACTAATTATTGAAATTAAATTTTATATTTCATTTAGAAAGTCTAATCATCTATATTTTGCTTATTAGTATTTTTATTATGCTGTATATATAATTTACAATAAAATTTTGATTTTGTATTATATACTTTCTTTGCGGAAATCTTACGTAGTAAATCGCAAATTTAATTTCTTACTACGGTATATATAATTTACAATAAAATTTTGATTAGTATTGTGTATATACTTTCTTTGCAGAAATCTTGGATTTTCATACGTAGTAAATCGCCAATTTAGTTTCTTACTACGGTATATATAATTTACAATAAAATTTTGATTAGTATTGTATATATACTTTCTTTGCGGAAATCTTGGATTTTCATACGTAGTAAATCGTAGTACTATTAACGAGGTATTAACGACGGAATACGAAAAATTAGTAATTTTCGTACTCCGTCAAAAAACCTCGCTAATACCTCGTTAATAATGCTACGTAGTAAGAAACTAAATTTGCGATTTACTATAAAATCTCTTAACGATCTATATATATTATTAACTAGGTTAATGCGTAGCATTGTGTGTCCGAAGCACATGATAATCACCATATTGCATGCTTTAGTTACACTAAAGTACAAATATAGACACGCGCGCGGACAGACATGAGTTTTCAAAACTACATTTTTGATGCATTAATATAATATATCTAATGAGTTAATCAAGAACGTAACTTGTGATGCATCAAAAACGGAACTTTTGTATCACCATGACTAAACATTAAATGTCCTCCGCTACGCTCCGGACAATAATTTATACTAGATCTAAAATATTTTGACGCTATCGCAAAAATCTAAGATTTCAATTCCATTAAAATATTATATATTTAGCAAAGTTTAGCGATATAATAGGATAATATAAGAATGACAAAAAAAAAAGGGGGAATTTACAGATAAGGGCCCAAAAACGAAAATAATTACAAATAAGGGCCCAAAATGAAAATAATTACAGATAGAGGTCCAAGATTTGAAAATTATTATAAATAAGGGTCCAAAATAATTAGAACATATGATTGATATAAGTCCCGTTTCGATGATTTGAATATATGATTGTAATATAGTCATTAATTGTTAACGCATAAAAAATGTAATCATAATCCTTATAACAAACACTATGTCAAATACAAAATTACCGATCGGTATAATTTTAACTAAGGCCGCTTGAAGTTGAAACTTCGTTTAACGTTATCCCTCCATCTCCCGGGTAATTAAACAAATAGAAATGAAAATTTGAAGCAGTCGGGTTTTTTCGGTTTACGTCGGGATTTCTCGATACACTATGTTTAATTTTTATGTTTGTTCTCTCCCCCCCTCTATAAATACGAAAAAAAATAACGTTAAACGAGGTTTTAATTTCAAGTCGCCTAACATGAAAATGCTCATTCGGCCTTGGGTTATTTTGTTGAATTTTCTTTTTATAAGTTCAGAACTAACAAACAAGATAAGCTATTGGCTATTTGTTTTACAAATGAAACCACTTCATGCCCTATTACAATTTCAGTTAACAAGCGTAAAGATGGCTATATTCATATAGTAAGGATTCCTCATGATCTAACTTGTCTAACT